TTCAAGAACTGTATTCTCTTCAAGGTTTGCTTACTCAGGATTTTCATGGCGCTCTCCTCTTCCTTCGCACTGCGTATCAACCAAAAGGCAGAAAGCTTGTATGCCTAGAAGAAATGGAGAACAATGAGATATATAGGTTCAAAAGAAGACATGAAGACCTATGCTTTCAACCATCACATTCCCACTTGCAACAGCTATCATTTTCAATGGTGTTAGTTGTCACTTTCCCATTTGTAGAAAATGAGAATCATTATCATCAACAGTTCATCCACTTTTCTTTTAAGTCATCTCCTGGTCATACCGGTCCCATCTTGGAAAAAGAAGTCACGATAAGAAGCTAGAAAATAGTGATATAATGTATGTAGCTAACATATAACCCTTTTTAGATTGTATGGACTTTACTAAAGTTTTTGGTGCTTATCATTTGTGATTTTCCTTCTGCCTTTGCTAGTCTAATGAGCTTGCTTTTGCAGCCTCTACGTGAGAGGAAAAAACAAAATGATAGGTGTGCTGACTAAAAAGTTCACACCGCCCATCCCTAAATAAGTGCGATCTAATTCCAGTGCAAAAAAGGGGTGTGCCTAATTTTTTTAAAAGATTTGATGACCTGCTATCTAGAGGAAAGGCAAAAAGATGAAGAAATATTTTCAAGGTTGAGATAATCAGATACCGGTAGAAAATATTGAAAGAAAACGAGTGAAATGGGCCACACAGTATGAAGAAATCTTTCATACGAGTAAAACATATCATGATTATGTCATTAAAAGATGATCTACACTCAAGAGTTTAACACAGATAACTTAATAATGCCTACAAAACAAAAATTAAATTCACTAACATGTTTTATGAATTCCCAACCATCAATTATGTTATTTTATATTTATATCTTGAAAACCTACTCAGTTTGTTTGCTACATTATTGCCTGTAATTTATTTCAAATGATTATACAGATTTCACTTTATTACAATTTTATGATCTTCTATTTGTTCCCACTTTCCTGAGTGTGATATAGGGCCACATAGTGGGTGGATTGAAATACTGACTCATATTTGTAACATATGGACAAGTCCCAGTTGGTGAAATATGTAAAGACCTTTTCTCTCTCTCCTTTTTTTTTTTCGATGAGAAAGTCCCTTTCTCTTTACTGTAACTGGAGTATCACAAAAATATTTGTGCATTTGGAAATTTGAAGGACAGATGTTCAACCCAGGAGCCTACTTTAATTCTTAATTTACAAGATAATATCAATAAATATTATCAAAAAAAAGATAATATCAAGAAATAAAAACTGAAGGTACCAATACAAATAAAATATGGAAGGCCAATTGAGCAATAGATGTAGAAAAAGTAAGTCTTACTACAGACCAGCATGGTATGCTGAGCTGTCAAGCACCAGATCCATTGTGAATAATTTGAGAACCACAAACGTGAAAGATGTAGAGGCACCAAATTTTCTCAGCTAGTT